CCGAGGTGGGAAGTGTGGGGTGCAGTGCCCTCATGGGTGGCTGGGAGTGCGGGGGAGAGTAGGGCCGCTGGAGGAGGGACAGGCGCACTGGGCGGGCAGCTCGTGGGGCTGGAGCCAAGGCAGAAAGCTTGTCACTGGGTTCACCCTGCACTGAGCACACAGCACACGTGTGCTGCAGCCCGTGGTGCCCACATCCCTGGGTGCTCACAGTTCCAGGGTCTCTGGGTGCAGCCTGTGTGGTGATGGTTGATGAGCCTGTGAGCGGGGGCTCTGTGGCCTGCATGTCTCGGCAGCTGCCATTGAGGACCTGTGGAGGATGCTGGGCAGGGCTGGCATCAGTGCTTTGGGCAGCCTGGGGCTGCAGGCCCAGGCAAGACAAGCCTTTATGCTGGGGTCAGCTGGTCTGGGCGCTGACCTTGCTCTGGGTTGGGCCTGTCGCTAGGATTCCACCTGCTTTATTTCGGTTAATCCTGGTGGAGAGGCCTGTGACTATCTCCATTTTATGGACAGGAAAACAAGCCCAGGGAGGATCAAGCCTCCTAACTTGGGGGGCAGGGGTGAGGGGTACTCAGGGTTGGCGTTGAGGCTGCTGAGGCCCTCCTCCGCTGGGCAGGTGGTACTCTGCTTTCCCGCCCCATCCTGTGCTTTAAAACCAGGCAGAGGTTTGGGGCAGCAGAGGTTGGGAGGCCCATGGCTATGAGGAATGAATCCCCGGGCAGGGCGGTGGGGCCTGGAGGGTCCGAGGCTCTTTCACCAGGAGGAGCCATAGCCCCTCCCTGCCACCATGAAGTCACCTGCTTTCCGGGCTGGGCAGGGCGGGAAGAGGGTAAACTGGTTCCTCCGTTCCGTGGGGAGCTGGGAAGAGTTACTCGGCTTCCTGGGAGCAGCATGGGATTTTCCCAGGGGGCTTGGGAAGGGGTGGCCTGTGGGCAGTGGCCGGACTCCTGCTGCCATCCTGCCTGTCTGGGGAAGTGGAGTGGTAGCTCTGTCTTAGGAGTTCCGCTCTGGCCCCCACGAGGCAGGAGGCCCTGCAGGGCTCACTGGAAGTCTCGATGCCCTGTGATGGTCACTGGCAAAGAAGGAAGGAGTTTTGGGGAAGTCAGTTTTCGGAGTTTTTGGGAATGGGGCAGTCAGGATACAGTAGTGTGACTTTCTGATGCAGGACATTAAAAGAGAAACTGAAACTGTGTCCCATTAGCCTGGCGGGAAAGAGCCCTGTGGTCACCCCCTCTTGGGTTCTTGCTCTCAGAAGCTGAGGTTTGCTGGTGCTGAGAGGTGTGGGTGGGGTGGAGGTGAGGGGAGAAGTGACAAGGAAGGCTGGGCCTGGGAGTCAGATCCCTCGCTGGTCACATGGCCATCCTGAGGTCTCCTGGATCAGGTGGCTGCAGAGATTAGTAAGGTAATGGATACCAAGCCCCCGGCTCTGAGCCTGGCCTAGAGCAGAGTCCTGGTGAGTGAAAGCGATTCCTGGTGGCCATGGGAAGCCTCAGTGCTCCGGACCTTCCTAGCCAGAGCTCTGAGCCCCTGACTTCATCCACAGACGAACTCTCTGCTCTCAGATAAAGCCCTTTTTCTGGGCCTCAGATGAGGCGGAGGCGCCCAGGGAGCCACTGGGGCTCTGCGCCAGGGCCATGGCTGTAGGTGTTTCTTGGTATCTCTGATCATCTTCAGCAAAGGAGAGTCTGCAGAGCCATCCACTCCTTGCGCTTCCTCTGCTCTTCCTCTGCTCTTCCTGCGGCTCCAGCGCTCCCTCACTCTGGAAGGCGTCCGCCACGCCGTTCCGTGTGCTGAGCCGGCTGTTCTCCACAGCTGCTGCCAAGGCCAGAGCTGGTTCTTGGGCCCAGTGCCAAGAAAACTTGATTGTCACAGCTCCCCCAAAGCCAAGGAGCGATGTCGTCCTGGAAGCAAAGCTGTGGGCAGAATGAAGCCCTGGGAGGAAATCCCAGCAGCGGTGTTGAGGGTGGAGCCAGAATGGGGCAGGGGCAGGGGCAGGTTGGGCTTTGCCCCAGGGCTGGTCAGGGTGGAGGTACTTAGGGCTGGAGCAGTTGGCAGCCAGAAGGCTGGGAGGAAGCAGCCTGTCCACTCGTGGTTTGTGTGGTGTCCTGAGGAGCCTCGGGGAGGAGGTCCCTGCGGCTTTGGGGAGAGCAGGAGAGAGGTGGCTCTGGTTGATTGCACAGTTCAGGGCAGGGTTGCTCTCTGGCCTCCAGCTCTGCGACAGAGGGAAGCGGAGGCTATGGTCCTGTCTTCCTCTGGGGATTGATGTCTTTCTGTACCATTCGGATGAATGGGGAGATGGGGTCTGGAGAGGAGAGTTTGATGTCTCCTTCCAGCTCCCCTGGCTGGCCCTGGGGTCTGCATGTGTGGGTGGTGGCTTTGCTGGCCCCTCTCCCCAGCCATCCCCAGATGCTTGTGTGGTGTCCAAGCTTTTCCTGCCACTTGCACAGATGAGCCAAGAGCAGCAGGAAGGGAGATGCCTACCTGCCCCAGGGGAGGGGACACAGACTTTGCCAGGGCTTCATGATGGTGTGGCTTCTTGGAAACGCGTTTCTCTAAAACGGGTTTGAGGAGAAAATATTTTTTTTTGAATGTTCAAAGACAGTGATAACATGATGTCAAATACAAAAACTGCCTGAAATCCCAAAATAAAGCAAGAACTTCAAAGATGTTTCAAGCCAGCAGCAGACTCTGAACAGCATGGTGTGACTTCTCAGACCTGCTCTGCCACCAAGGGGCTGGCTATCCCACCCTACTGGTGCCTGGGGGCAGGCAGGGGGAGCCAGTGCTGCTGCTGCAGCCTCTCCTGCCCTCTGGGCATGGCTCGGGTCTCTGCTGAGCAGGGCGAGAGCCCAGGCTCCAGGGCCACCCTCCCCTTTCCTGGGTCACTGTCCTGATGTGGGCAGGCGGGTCCTGGCAAGGGGGTGGCTCCTGCTGGGGCTGAAGTGCTGCCGCACACTCTGGCCCTACAGGTATTATCGGGGGACCCACGGGGTCATTGTAGTTTACGACGTCACCAGTGCCGAGTCCTTTGTCAACGTCAAGCGGTGGCTTCACGAAATCAACCAGAACTGTGATGATGTGTGCCGAATATTAGGTGAGGCTGTGCCCAGGGGCTGAAGTGGGCGTCGGGTCGGGGGAGGGAGACAGCCAGCTGTGCCCTTTAGGGCTGCGCTGACTCTGCCTTGCTTTGAAGTGGGCAATAAGAATGATGACCCTGAGCGGAAGGTGGTGGAGACAGAAGATGCCTACAAATTTGCTGGGCAGATGGGGATCCAGTTGTTCGAGACCAGCGCCAAGGAGAATGTCAACGTGGAAGAGGTGAGGCCCTGGGTCACTGGCTCTGCCGCACCCCCGTGGCCCTTTTCTTCTCACTGTTGGCCTGCTCGAGGCATCTAAATGGCCAATAGAAAACGTCCTAGTAGGCCGGGCGCGGTGGCTCACGCCTGTAATCCTAGCACTTTGGGAGGCCAAGGTGGGTGGATCACCTGAGGTCAGGAGTTCAAGACCAGCCTGGCCATCTTGGTGAAACCCCATCTTAAAAAAAAAAAAAAAAAAATGTCCTAGTAAGTGCCATTTACTGAGTGCCTACTATGTGCCAGGCCCTTTAATGATCTTAGTTCATAGCTCAGCAGTCCTCTAAGGTGGGTACAATTATTCACACATTTCAAACAGGAAAACTGAGGCTCTAAGTGTTGAAGTAACTTAAGGACCACCACCCAGCTAGTAAGAAGCTGAGTAAACCTCTGTCCCATATCAAAGCCAAGCAGTTTCTGTACTAGTCCTCTGCCTTACTGGCCGCCTTGTGGGGTGTGGAGCTCAGAGGCCTATGGGAAGCTGAGGATCCCCACTGCTTCGGGGCACATGGGCCATACAGTGGCAGGGAGCAAGGCTTCTTCTCTGAAGGTCAGGCTGGTGTCCTGACACTGGCCTGTCCACCTGGGCCTGTGGGTGGGGCTGGTATGACACTGGGCAGTGACTTCACCTCTCTGGGCCCCACATGCCGTGAGGTGGTGTGGAGTGGGCAGACCCTGGGTCACCTCTGTCCATGAACAGGGCCAGGGCACTTTCATCTGTCATGTCACCGGATTCCAGCTGAAGGAAAGGGGTTTGTCTCTATAAAAAAAAGGACTGGAGGCTGGGCTTGGTGGCTCACGCCTGTAATCCCAGCACTCTGGGAGGCCGAAGCAGGCAAATCACCTGAGGTTGGGAGTTTGAGACCAGCCTGACCAACATGGAGAAACCCTGTCTCTACTAAAAATACAAAAAATTAGCCGGGTATGGTGGTACATGCCTGTAATCCCAACTACTCAGGAGGCTGAGGCAGGAGAATTGCTTAAACCTGGGAGTTGGAGGTTGTGGTGAGCCGAGATTGCACCATTGCACTTCAGCTTGGGCAACAAGAGCGAAACTCCATCTCAAAAAAAAAAAAAAAAGGACTGGAAAACCCCTGTGAACCCCTGTGAGATTGACTTCCCCAAGCCACACCGCTCATGGGGGGCCTTTGATGATGTTCCTTTTTTCAGACTTATTTGTTGAGTTAGGGTCTAACTCTGTCATCCAGGCTGGAGTACAGTGGTGTGTTCATGGCCCACTGTAGCCTCGTTCTCTTGGGCTCAAGTGATCCTCCCACCTCAGCCTCCCGAGTAGCTGGGACTACAGGTGTGCACCACCACGCCTAGCTGATTTTTGTATTTTTTGTAGAGACAGGGTTTTAGCAATGTGGTTCCTTTTTGACCTTTAAATAAAATAATTCACCACCTCCTTCTAGAATAGGCTTTGAAGACATACATACCAAACATTCACAGGTAGGAAGTGCGGCCAGCAGGGACCTCCTGGCCAGGTCTGAGGCCGGCCCTTCCTCTTTCCTCTCCACAGATGTTCAACTGCATCACGGAGCTGGTCCTCCGAGCAAAGAAAGACAACCTGGCGAAACAGCAGCAGCAACAACAGAACGACGTGGTGAAGCTTACGAAGAACAGTAAACGAAAGAAACGATGCTGCTAATGCCGCCCAGTCCACTGCAGAGACTGCACTGCGGTCCCTCCCCCAGCCCGAGGTCCACGGGGGTTCCTCGGGGGACAGTCTCAGTTTCGTGCCGTTATTTAAAGAATTCTCTCCATGTTTTTGTATCGGGAGGCGCCATCGGCACTTCCTCCCCCTTCCCCCTCGAGTGCCAAGAAGGTGTTGGACCAGCCCGCCCTTCCCTACTGGTGCCCCCTCCTCCCCGGCCAAGGCGCCTGGACCTGGCAAGGACGCTGCCAGCCGAGCGGACTGATTCACAGAGTCTGTACATAGTGTATATTGCTCTACCCGGCCGCACACCGCGTCCTGCTCTGGCTTTTGCCTCCTTGATGCCAGCCTGCTGCAACGGACCCTCCCTGCGCCCCTCCCCAGCCCATCTTACTACAAGCAGCGTCCTGAGGAGACAGCGTCACATTCTAGCTGCATCTTTGGCCAGCCTGCGCCAGTGGAGTGGGCTCCGTGTTGCTCATTCTCTCCGACAGGCTGTCAGCTTCTGTCCCTGGCACGCAGGGTCTTGCCCCCTCTCCGGGGCCTGTGCCAGCTCCCTTCCCTCCCTGTTCTGCGCCCAGCCATTCTGGGAGCTGGGGAACCCGGCCTTGAGGCCCTGCGGTTCCAGAAGTGGTCAGTCTTGCCCCTTGGCCAACAGATTTCTTGTCCTGCCTTCTAGATGCTTCTGAGCTCCAAACCCAGGGGAGCCATGGCTTCTCATTTCTACCAAGAGGTTTAAGTTCCATCAGAAAGGTTGGGGTAGGTTCGTGCAGAGATGGGGCTGGCATGGGGGCTGCAGGAGCAGTATTTTAAGAGATCAAGAGAATGAAGCCAGATCAGTGAATTTCCTCACAATTATTTTCTTTCCCTGAGGTTTGATTGGCAGAGCAGCAAAAGTTGGGGCAAACCCACTTTGTGTCCATTGTTTTTAGAAAAAAAAAAAAAACAAAAACGAATGGCTTCTTGCCATTGTGGGGCTGGGCTCTCATGCCTGGGGCCTCTGGGCTGGGACCGTGGACAGCCCCCAGTCATTGTCCTAATCTTTGTCAGGACAAAGGTAGCAAGATGGGAAGGAATGGCTGGGAGCGGTCAGTTTTGACCCCTAGTCCCCTGGAGAAAAACCAGGGTCATCTGCACTTGATGACTGCTTCCCCAGCCCCCAGCCCGAACACCTCATTACCCTTTCCCCTACAGGGATCAAGTAACCTGGGAAGAACTGATTCCAGGATGTGTTTCCTTAGATTTCCTTTCCTAGGTGATTTCCAGGCAGAGCCGTGATTGGACAATCACATCACAGATCACACTGCAGTTTCCATGTTGGCACTGTGGATGGGTTTTTAATCAATAAAAACTGGGGGTTTATTCTCACCTGTCTCTCCACTTGCCCAAACTGCCAAAAGCTGGTGGTGCTGGGACAGGCCTTCACTTTGGAGCCACAGGATGGGGTGGGGGAGCTCCGTGGGCCTGGGAAGGAGGGTACTGTGGAGGGGCTGCAGGGCTGACCAGAAGGCAGCCTCATCTGGTCTGGGGGCGGCAGAAGTGGGGTCTCCGTCCTTGTGACTGTTCTGGTTCGCCATGGGCCCTGTGAGGATGTGTTGGTGCTTGGGGGCTACTGTGCTGGTGGGTGGGGGGCATGCTTGCCTCCGAGTGATCAGGCGAGGCCAGCAGGGGTGTGCTTGCAAATTCAAGCAATAAGTTGGGGGGGGGTTGGTCCTGGGAGCTTCCAGCCCAGGCTGGGAGCCCCCATGGCTTCTGGCAGCTGGACGTCCAGCCCCAGGTGGTGGGGTGATTTTGGTCATGGCAGTGTGCCTGTCCCACTGTTACATGCATGAATGGGGGATACGGGGTGGGGGTGGGGGATCAGGGCTGGACCGACGTCCTAGTGGACCTGATGTGAACTTGTCAAACACCACCACTTTTAAATGGTTTGCTAGGATTATTTCTGTATTGAAAGTTTCTAATTATGCTTTTTAAAAAAATACTAAAAATAAAGGTTCAAGCTGCCAAATTTTCTTCCAGGGTCTGTCTGCTCTCCCTCCAGAGATGTGCTCTGAGTGGGCCTGGCTTCTTTCCACCCAGAGTGTCCAGCTCTTCCCTGTTCTTGGTCTAGGTCTTGCACAGGAGCCTGTCGAGGCCTGGGACACTTCCAGAAGCCAGATCCGCTTTCTCCATGAACAGGTGGTCCAAAGTTGAGTTCCCCCTAGTTGGATGCATTGGCTGGGAGCACATGTGGTAAGATACCAGGGGAAGCTCCGTGTTTACTCTCCACATGCCTGGAAAGATGCAGTGTAAGCCTTTGCCTGGAGTGGCTCTTTCTGGCTTGAAGTTTCTGCCAAGCTTTAGGGCCCTGCTGGCCTGGGAAACAGCGCTGGCAGGGGACAGTGCCAGGCGAGAGGGGCAGGGCAGGATCCCCCCTTCCTGGCCACATCCCTTGGTTAACTACCGGCATCTGCAGTGACCCAGGTGCAGGGGAACCCACAAGTGCTACCTCTTCAGCAGCAGCCAGTGGTGAGTCTGGCATACCGTCTACATTTGGACCAACCCCCCCTCCCCGGCAAATAGACGGAGGCAGGAAGCTCTGTAGAAATTCATTTTATTCTTATTCAGACTATTTTCAAAAGAAGCAGTGGTGTGCTGTTTTTCTAAAAATATGCCTTTATAGATTTTTATATATGTATATTATAAAATCCATACATGTATTTACATGATTGCTACATACAAAATTACAGCACTGTGGTATGTACACATCTACAGGTACATTCTTTCCGCGCATCCCTGCTGTGCTTTCCCCGTGTGAGGGAGGGAGACTGAATCGTTGTGAGCAGCTGGGGGCTGGCTGGGCCGCGGAGCCTCTGAGTGGGGGCCTGGGTGGAGGATGTGGGGCAGCTGCCGAGGCAGGAGCAGCAGCCAGCAAGAAGCATCTGGGGGCTCCTGGCGGCTTCCCCTTTCCCTCCACCCCGTGGTGCCCATGCTGCCCTCAAGGTGGGGTGGCTGACCACAGAACCCTCTGGTGCCATTCTGTGGCCTGGACTTGCTTGGCTGGGCCAAGAAGTCGTGTATGTGACGGGTGCAGAAGGGAGATGGGAGGAAACCCCGTCCAGCCCCAGCCCTGAGCAGGGGAAAGGGCTGGATGGCTAAAGCCTGCAGATGACTGGCGAGAACACTCTGCCTGGCCCGGCCCTGCTAAGGGGCAGCGACTGGAGGCTGGGAGGGACAGTAGTGGTGGCCGGGGGACAGGGCCTTCTTCCTCCTGGGGGCTCAGGGGGTGGCCTCAGCTGAGCTTGGGTAAGCCCTGGCTCTTGGGCCCTGCGGCCAGAGGCTTGGCCTCCTGCCAGCAGAGGTGCATGCACGAGGGGGAGGGGCTGCCATCTCCCCTTTGACCCTGGGCTAGGGAAGGAATGGAGGCTTAGGCATGGCCTGCTGCCCCGCAAGACGAGGCCCCCGGGGCTAAGGCCTCCTGAGGCATGCAGAGAAGGGCCTCCATTCCTTCTGTTCCCCACTGGCTAAAATCAAGGAGGCAGCAGTGCCTGGGGGTAAGCTGCGATCTGTTGGGCTAAGCTGAGAACCCAACACCAAGAGGCCCCTCTGGTAGGTGGCCTAACCCTGCTCTGGCACGGGATCCTGGAGAAGCCCAGGTGTGGGCTCGGCCAGGCCATGGGCCAAGGGCAGCCTTCAGTGGCCAAGGAAGACCCCCACCTTTAGGTTTCCATCCCCACTGACGAAAGGGAGAAGGCCCTCCCGGACCCACAGGGCCCTAGCGCGAGGGGCAGGGCAGCTGCTTAGCTGCACGCTGCAGGAGGCCCTCGCCTGCACTGCTTTTCCAGCTGCCTCCAGTCCACCCATCTTTGGTGGCCTGACTCCTCCTAACTTAAATTTTCCTGAAGAATGAGAAGAGTCGTTTGCCTTCAGTGGTGCTGGGCTCGTCCCCCCGCCCGGCACTATGGCCCCTGCAGAGGGAAGCAGCCGGCTGGCTCCGTTCCTTTAGGTGAGTGTCCATCAGCTGCCGGTCAATGACCCTGTGCATGTCATCCTGCAGAGGGGAGGGGAGAGTGACCAGGGCTGAGCAGCTGCTCTGACCTGGCCCTAGGGGTGGACAGGGAGGTGGCAACGTCAGACAGATGAGAGATGAGGATGAGATGAGTGAGCGGCTGCAGCCGGGACTGCCCTGACCACGAAAGCGGTGAGCATGGGTATGACACCAGGCACACGCAGGAGCTGTACGGCACCTCCAGCCTCCACAGGCTTGCGCTGGGTTCTCCTCGACAGTATGACACCTGCTGGACCACCATGGTCCTCGGCTGACTGCTGGGGTGGTCTGCCCCTGCAGTCCCCACACTGGCACTCCGCCTCCTCTGACCAGGCCTTGCGGCTCTGCCTCCTGGGTCCTGTGGGCCTGGCTGTGCCTCCGGTTTGGTTTGCCACCTCCAGCCCCTGAAGGCCCTAGGGCCACCTCGGTTTACCAGCTCCCAGCCCAATGGCCTGGACTTGGGGGCTCCTGTTGTCCAGAAAATGCCTTCCTCCCCATGGCCCGCCCCACCATGTTTTACAGAATAGCAGCCTCTCCCGTAGAGGAGCCTGTGGACAGGGCAGCTCCACCCCCTTCCCATTCTAGTGGCTAGATTCTGACTCTGAGTAGACTCCATTTGACAAAAGCGTTCTGCCACTAACAAAGTTTGAAAACCACTGGTTTAGAAATATGAGCAGCCTGTGTAATTAGCATCATCAGTAAATGTAACACGTATCTGCTCAATTGCTTCATGACTTGAACCTGGCAGGCTCTGTGGCATCCTGGTAAAAAGACCCTGAGCTTTTCTGGCCAAACCCTAGAGTGAGTCAGTCTACAGTGTCTGAGCACAGGACAGGTGAGGCCTGCATTCAGGGCAGGCTCCCTGTGGCCGGGGTAGATAACCTCTCTGGTACTGAACAGCCACTTGCGAGATGAGGGCATGAAGTTGGGCTGGCCAGCCCCCTCCACCTGAGCAGCTTGTCCATCTCCTCCTCCCTCTCACCCGTGGGTGTCGTTCTATTATCTCTGCAGGTTTCGGCATGAAACAAGGGCCTCCCCGAGTTATCGTGGGGTAGCAGTGAGTGTGGACTCCTCACACTCTCTGGCTCAGGGCCTGCTCTCTAGCCTCCCCATCCTCTCAGCCCTGTCCTTCAGACTCAGCTCCTTCCTGGTCTTTTCCTTGCCCTCGTCTTCCTCCCTTCTCTTCCATCCCCTTTTCTGCTTGCCCCTCAGAGCTGACATCGTGCCAGGTATTTGCCAACACATGGTCTCTACTTGTAAGGTTCCAGTGTATGATCTTTGGCACAGTGCCCTGCACTTAGGACGTGCTCAGTAAAATCTAAGCTAAAACTAATTTAGGAATGCTAAAGGGCCCTTCAAAAACCGACCTTTCAAAGCTGCCAGTGTTTTTCTGGCACACTGTAAACTGCATTTTTTAACTTTAAGCAGTCAGTTCTGTCCAGCTCACCCCTTTAGAGTTTCCCAGACACATGCTGCTTACAATTCCATGCCTGCTGGTCCCTCAGTGGACAGAACAGCTATTTATGAGAAGATGGCACCAGCCATCAGCACTGGGCCACGTGCTGCCGAGGAGCTCACCGGATGCGACTGTGATGGAGGAGGGAGCTAGTACTGGAGGACATGTCACAGTGCACAGAGATGACGCCAGGCTCCAGCACACAGAACACAGTGGGCCATGAGGGGAGGCGGCGGGACGGCAGGGCGAGAGGGTGGATGAGATTCAGGGCTCAGGCTCACCTCAAAGGCAGGAGGGGTGTACAACTAAAGCTGTTGATACGGGAACTGAGAAAGGCCACTAGATCAGAAACCAAAGGAGCCAGATAGTAAAAAGCCCTGAGGAAGCAAACTGTAGCCGGGAGAGAAGAGAGAGAACGGCGGTCAGCCAGGGCGCGGCCAGCTGGCTGTCATGCAGAGCCGAGGAGCCAGGGACTGGCACCCTGTGGTGGGGCCAGTGCTCTAGCTGCCAGCCCCAAGGGGCCCTGGGAGGAATGGTCACCAACAACCTGCCCTCCTCAGGGGGCTTACCTTGTAAAGCCACAGATGGCTTTTTCATCTGTCTGGATGAGAGTTCTTGGGGAGAAATATTAAATGTTTATACTCATATCCTAAAACTGTGCCACCTCAACCTCAGCAACAAAACCAAGCCAGCCACAGCCCCGGCCCATGCTGGACCCCAAAAACAGTGGGCTTAGAGAGGGACCCACTGATTTATCTTCCCCAGGGCCTGCACCAGCACAGTGCTCTTTGGAAAAAGGAGGCTGGCCCTTGAAAAGGGGAAGGGCGGCAGCTGCCGGCTGCGGGAGGGCCGCTGAGCCACATCCAGCTGTGAATTTTCATGCAATCACATGGAGCTTCCTGGGCCCTCCATGTTAACCAGTTGTTCCTTTTCAGCTTAAATCAAATCCCAGACAACCAGCTGCTGGCGGGCCCTGTTCCAAGTCTGGAGATCACTACATCTCCAAACAGCAACAGCCTGGGGACTGTCACCCAAGCATCCTTACGCATTCTTCCCCAGGACTAGGGAAACAAGAGCTCTTGATCTTGCCAGGTGGAGACTGGGATGTGCTGTTCACCTAGTCACATGGGGCCCTCCAGTAGCAAACTCTCCTTACACTCTGCCTAGGTTCAGAGATTCCTCCTGGAATCTTCTCTTGCCCTCGATCTCAGGGCTGTGGTTTACCTGCCAAGCCTCCAGCTGCTGCGAGAGGTTCAGTTTCTGCTGAATGGCATCCAGCAGCTGGCTGTTCAGAGACATCATGTCCATCCTGCACTTGGCGAGTTCCAGCTCCACAGCGTTCTTCCTGAGAACCAACAAGCCAGGGTGAGCATGGACACCTGTGCCAGAGGCATCTGGATCTTTACTTGAGGCACCTGGAGTCCACAGGCTGAGGAATCAGGCTCTGACCCCTGACTCACAACAAACAGCAGCCACAACAATAACTGTGATGTTGCCCGTAGAGGGTTCGTTTGCAACATGTTTTCACATATATTCTCTAAGTTTTCATAACCAACCTGTAGGTGAAAGGAATATTTGTCGTCTCCACCTCAGAAAGTTGAAAAAGGACAGTACTAAAATGAGGACTGGAACCCAGAGGGAATCAAAGGCCTCACACAACATAAAGGAGTTACTCATCCTTCCCCAAAGAGGCCTTATCCCTACTGGAAGGCAGGAACCTTGTCCTGCTGGTATAGAAGGGATTCCTTGTAGTTAGCAACCCCCTTTTGGGGGACTGTCCTGAAGATACAGAGGTGTGCAAAGGTAGCCACACAGTGGTGATCATCACAGTCTAATCGGAATAGTCAACAATCAGGAAACTGGTCATAAATGCTAAGATGGAACACAGTCATCAGTAAAAACCATAAAGTGTGTCCAGGCCCAGTGGCTGGCTGCTGTGATCCCAGCACTTTGGGGGGCTGAAGTGGGAGATCACCTGAGGTCAGGAGTTCGAGACCAGCCTAGCCAACATGGTGAAACCCTCTCAATGAAAAATACAAAAATTAGCCAGGTGTGGTGGCAGGCACCTGTAATCCCAGCTACTCGGGAGGGTGAGGCAGGAGAATCGCTTGAACCTGGGAGACGGAAGTTATAGTGAGCCAAGATCGAGCCGCTGCACTCCAGTCTGGGCAACAGAGCAAGACTCTGTTTCAAAAAAAATCAAAACAACAACAATAAAACCCCACGAAAAACCATGAGGTAGAATATTTGACAGTTCATAACATTTTGCTGAATGGAAAAAAACACCAGACAACAAGGTCTAGTATAACACTAGTTTGTAAAACAAAAACTGCCTGTGTATTCAAGGATATGCACAAAAATACCTAGTTGGTTATCTCTGGGTGATGATTACTGATGGGGGGAAATATTAACATTTATACCCTTATCCTAAAATTGTGCCACCTCAACCTTATCCTCCGACATACTTTTGCATTTTCTATTTTCACATTTTGTGTGTATTTCATATATTACTTTCTTCACCTTTCCCAACATTCCTAAATCATGGCTGTTCAATGCAAAAGAAAACTAATTTTTTCTTAGGGCAGGCGAACGGGAATAAAGGTTGAAGGACCTCTGCAGGGGCAGCCCTGGTTGCCCAACTGCAGAAACATGTATTATTTACCCCTTGCCTTCATTAATTGCTCCCTCAAGCACTCGAAACAACAAAGCTAACAAAAGCATGCTCCTTGTACAGAGCCAGTGATGAAAGTGCAGGGCCCAAGAGCAGCCAGATGATCCGCCTGCAGAGGCCACCTAGCTCAAGCGTCGCCAACACCGACTGCACTAACCTACGTCCCACCAGCCTCCCCTAGAGAAACCGCTCCAGACAGCTTCGCCATCATGTCAGCTCCGCCCACTGCGGCTGCGACATGACCCCAGCCCATCCAATGGGTGTTGAGGGCTCAGACGTCGAAGGCTGCCTCCGTCATAGCAGCTGCTATTGGCTGGCAGTAAACGGCGGAAATCCTCACGCGGCATCAGTTGCCATGGCCACCCACCCTGTGGTCCAGCAGCGTCAGAACCCGTGGTGCCCCACAGCAGCCGCAGCCTCCTGAGCTTCCGGCGTCTCCCGGCAGGTGGCGCCGGGAGCAGTGGGCGCTCCGGGAATGTGCTGACTAACGTCGCTGCCGAGAAGCCGAGGGGCCCAGGGCCACAGCAGCGGCGCAGCGCCAGGCATGGTGGGGTTCCTATCCTTCCCAAAAAGGTCTTGAGGCAGGGCCTGCATGGACAAACTTCAACCCTGGCCACGCGCTGGAGCCCTGGGACATTTGCTCACTAAAGAATCTTAGTGCTCGTCATTCATAGAATACCCCAGACCGGGATCAACACATTAATCACATTTTAAAAATAGGAATATTTCCCAGGGCTCGAGTAATTCCTTTTCAAAAATGAAACCACTAGTAACTGACTCGTTTTTGTAAGGCAGATTACTAGCCCAAGATTTTGTTTTTAGTGAAGGCCTTTCACCTGCAAGGAGATAAAACTGCTACTTAATTTTCCTGAAACTCATTCATTGCATAGGTGACGGTGCACCTTAAGATTTCTGCAGTCCAGTGATGAGAAGGAAGTTATTTTTTCTTAGGTTTTCTCACCGCTGACTACACATTAAAATAAACAGGGAAAGAAGTGGTCCCCAAAAAGCCCCACACGGTGATTTCGATTGTACTGTTTTGGTGTCTGAGAGCTCCCCAAATGATTCTAATGTGTAGCCAGGATGGAGAATCAGAGAGAGCGTATATGGAGGCATCTGGTAAAACTAAGGTTCTGTACAAAATGATCAGCCTCTTTTCCTTGTCTGAGAGAAGGTAACCAACCCATGTGTATGTCTATCTTCATTCTGCTTTTTTTTTCTTTTTTTTTTTGAGACAGTATCTTGCTCTGTCACCCAGGCTGGAGTGCAGTGGCATGATCACAGCTCCCCACAGCCTCAACCTGTTGGGCTCAAGTGATCCTCCCACCTCGGCCTCTTGAGCATCTGGGACTTCAAGAGTGTGTCACCACACTCAGCTAATTTATTTTTATCTTTGGTAGAGAAAGTTCTTATTTATTTATTTATTTATTTTTTTGGACGGAGTTTCACTTTTGTTACCCAGGCTGGAGTGCAATGGCGCGATCTTGGCTCACCGCAACCTCCGCCTCCTGGGTTCAGGCAATTCTCCTGCCTCAGCCTCCTGAGTAGCTGGGATTACAGGCACGCGCCACCATGCCCAGCTAATGTTTTGTATTTTTAGTAGAGACAGGGTGTCACCATGTTGACCAGGATGGTCTCGATCTCTTGACCTCATGATCCACCTGCCTCGGCCTCCCAAAGTGCTGGGATTACAGGCTTGAGCCACCGCGCCCGGCTATTTATTTATTTTTAAGATGGGGTTTCACCATGATGGCCAGGCTGGTCTTGAACTCCTGACCTCAGGTGATCCACCCACTTCAGCCTCCCAAAGTGCTAGGTTTACAGGCGTGAGCCACCGCGCCTGGCCAGAGACAAGTTCTTACTATGTTGCCCAGGCTGGTCTTGAACTCCTGAGTTCAAGCAATCCTTCCATCTTGGCTTCCCAAAGTGCTAGGATTACAGGCACCTTGCCTGGCCTCCTCCTGCTTTTTATTTCTAATGAGCTTCCACAATTAGCATCTTAATTTTACCATTTTGTTCCATCACACAATTTCACTATTACTCATAAAGGTATGCTGCCGCCTCTAACACACTCTCACTTTTTTTTTTTTTTTTTTTTGGAAACAGGGCCTCATTCTGTCATCTAAGCTGGAGTGCACTGGTGTGATCTTGGTTCACTGCAACCTCTGCCTCCTGAATTTGTGGTCCTCCCACCTGGCTTTTTTTTTTTTTTTTTTGGTAGAGACAGGGTTTCACCATGTTGGCCAGGTTGGTCTTGAACTCCTGACCTCAAGTGATCCACCTGCCTCAGCCTCCCAAAGTGCTGGGATTGCAGGCCTGCGCCACCATGCCCCAGCCTTATCACACTGTTACTTAAGTATCCATTAACTAAATATAGCAGAAATCCAAGCAGCAAACATACATAGTTATGTGGGCTTCACCAAGAATAATTTCTAAAATAAACCAGCAACTGACAGACACCATAACATGCGTTCTGACCAGATAGAAAAGAGGGCCCAAAGGTAAAACAGAAATGGAGATAATGAAAGTAATGAAAGAGAATAGAAGGGAAGGCAAAAGTGTGTGTGGAAGTGAGAAGGTTAGAGTATGAGGAATTTTTTTTCTTTTCTTTTTTTTTGAGACACAGTCCCGCTCTGTCGCCCAGGCTGGAGTGCAGTGGCGTAATCTCAGCTCACTACCACCTCCACCTCCCAGGTTCAAGTGATTCTCCTGCCTCAGCCTCCCAAGTAGCTGGGATTACAGGCGCCTGCCACCAAGCTTGATTAATTTTTGTATTTTTAGTAGAAATGGGGTTTCACCATGTTGGCCAGGCTGGTCTCAAACTCCTGATCTCAGGTGATCTGCCTGCCTTGGCCTCCCAAAGTACTGGGATTACAGGTGTGGGCCTCCCAAAGTACTGGGATTACAGGTATGAGCCACCCGCTCAGCCTGAGTATGAGGATTGTCAGAAGTTAAAATGTGTGTCATATTATTATTTTCTTTTACAAAGGCATGTAGTATCTTATTTACAAATTGTTTCCAAGGAGCTCATTTTAGCTTTCCAACAAGTAGCAGTGTAGCAGAAGGAAATGGGTGTCAGGAAAATGGGAGTGAGAAGACCTGATGGAGGCTCATGAGTCACTGCTAGCTGTGGGCCTGGCCCTGGGGAAGTATTTTTTAAGTTTCCTCATCTGTAAAATTGGGATTAAAAAATTTTACTTCCTACTGTGGCTGGGAGGATTAATGAACGTGTTTTATAAACAGTAAAGTGATGTATAAATATTACTATTGGCCGGGCACAATGGTTCACACTCATAATCCTAGCAGTTTGGGAGGCTGAGGTGGGTGGATCACTTGAGGCCAGGAGTTCGAAAGTAAAACCCCATCTCTACTAAAAATACAAAAATTAGCTGGGTGTGGTGATGTGTACCTGTAATCCCAGCTACTCGGGAGGCTGATGCAGGAGAATTGCTTGAATTCAGGAGGTGCAGGTTGCAATGAGCCAAGATGGCACGATTGTGCTCCAGCCTGGGCAACAAGGGCGAAACTCCATCTCAAAAAAAAAAAAAGGATATTTATGGGCCAACTGGGGAAATTCTAACATCAACTGGATATTGATGTTATTAAGAAATTATTTTTTCAAGTGTGATCATTGTATTGTGGTTGGGTATTTTTTTTTAAGTCTTCTTTCTGGTAGAGGTGTATACAAAGTGTTTATGGAGGAGATGACACTATGTCTTGTGATTTGTTTTAACAGAACCCAACAGGGAGGTGGAGGAAGTGGGTGAAGATACAGATGAAATAACACTGACCATATGTTGATTAGTATTGAGGCTGAGAGATGAAGTCATCCTATATTTCCTCTTTTTGTGTTTGCTTGAAGATGTCCATAATAAAAAAATAGAAACAAAAGACAAAAAACTAAAAAAAAACTAAAAAAAAAAAAAAAGTGAGGTAGATATATACATATAATAAAATTGGAGGCTGGGTGCGGTAGCTCATACATGTAATCCCAACATTTTGTGAGGCTGAGGCTGGCAGAACACCTGAGGTCAGGAGTTCGAGACCAGTCTGGCCAACATGGTGAAACTCCAGCTCTACTAAAATAAAAAATTGGCCGGGTGAGGTGGCAGGTGCCTGTAATCCCAGCTACTTGGGAGACTGAGACAGGAGAATCGCTTGAACCCAGGAGGCTGAGGTTGCAGTGAGCTGAGACTGTGCCATTGCACTTCAGCCTGGGTAAGAAGAGCAAAACTCTGTCTAAAAAAAAAAAAAAAAAAAAAATTGGAAAGTTCTTTAAGATATAAGTGCAAAAGAAAGCAAGACATGTACAGTATCATGATGTCTAAAAACACATAACAACTACATATGCATTAGAAAATGCATACTATACACCTACATATGCATTAGAAAAAAACTGCAAAAAATGCATACCTAATTTTCAATACTAGTATCTCTCTGGAAAGGAGAATGGAAATGGGAGTAGGGATAGGCAGCAGGGAAACTCTTTTACCTTTGTATTCTTTTGTGTGATTTACTTTTTAAAAAATGAGCCTCTGCTCAATTCTATATACTCAACTTCATCTTAAGAATAAAGTGGGCCGGACGCGGTGGCTCATGCCTATAATCCCAGCACTTTGGGAGGCCGAGGCGGGTGGATCATGAGGTCAAGAGATCAAGACAATCCTGGTCAACAAGGTGAAACCCCGTCTCTACCAAAAATACAAAAATTAGCTGGGCGTGGTGGTGCATGCCTGTAGTCCCAGCTACTCGGGGGGCTGAGGCAGGAGAATCGCTTGAACCCAGGAGGCGGAGGTTGCGGTGAGCCGAGATTGCGCCATTGCACTCCAGTCTGGGTAACAAGAGCGAAACTCCGTCTCAAAAAAAAAAAAAAAAAAAAAAAGAATAAAGTGAAGCCATCCCTACTCACTTTGCAATGGCCTCATCACGGTCCCTGATGGCCTTCTGAAGCTGCTCCTTTGGCTCCTTGTCCTCAGATGTCACTCTGAGTCGGTCTCTCTCCTCTTTTAGGGCAGTCATCTCCACACTCAGCAGTGTCACCTAACAGGGAATGAACATGGTATCACTGACCTGGGTGGTTTTCCCTCAAAGAAGAAAAGTGGAAGAAAGAGACCCTAGGCAGGCCCAGGTAACATGTGTTGGGGTGCAGGCTGATAGCATTCCACTGCCATTCTGCTCCAAGGTATGGCCTGTTTGTCTTGAAGAAAGGGTACCACATGCTAGGCTTGAGCTCAGTGGCAAGGGAGCTGGGGGATATTCAGCCCTGGACTTGCAGCCATAGGCCAGATCCTCTTTGCACTCAGCACAGCACACTACCTCCTTCTTCTCAAGGCACTCCAGGTAATGAGTGAAAGAAGACCATAAGTGCATCATGACACACATTTTTTAGGGCAGGAAATCCAGTTTCCTTTCCCATCATCTTCCACTCAACATGGATGCTGCTATCAACAGAGCCCTGGATGGTTCCAAAGCTTGAGACCCTGCTCTCATCTCTAGCAGCACTTGGCACAGCCCAGCTCTCTTTCATTCTTCCTCATTCAGCTCCCCACGTGAAAGCCACAGGGAACCTGGACACCTAAATGACATTATCATCTTTCACCTCAAACCTGTTACCTTTTCTGTGGTCTGTGCATCAGGGAAGGGCACCAGCCTTCTCAGGTCCTCGTGCCCCAGCTGGGAGTCAACCTTTGGCAGTGAGGCACCCCTCCAGTGGCTCCGTCAGGGACCACAGCTTCCCCTGCCCCATAGTATGGTAACCCTGTGTACATCATAATCTGTGTGATGGCAGGAAGCGTGTCACGTCCATCTGTGCGCATCCCAGAGCCTGGCTGTGGTGCTTAATCCCAAAGCAGTAGACAATTGTCATTTTTTGGCTAGTCATCATTCAAACTCTCTTCCTATTTTGAAAGGGGCATTCCTAATTGTGTGAGACTTGGTGTGAGACAAGGCTCGATCTCCAACTCAAGAAGCCAATGGGAAAGACATTTCCTTTCCCAGGCAGCCTGGGCACAGGCCTGTGACCAAACTTGCCAGTTATACCCCTTTCCAGGGACTGCAGCTCTGAGCACAGCGAAGCCCCAGGCGAGTGGGGAATTACTGACAAGGGCAGTTTGTTTCTGTTGTCCTTTTCCTATGGCCTTTTCTTGTTTTGGAGCCGAGTTCTCCCACTTTCCTGTTGATTCTGTAAGCTACAGATCTAATATGTTCTCTTTCTGGTTACATTAGGCAGAGCACATTTTTGCTGTTTGCAACCAGAAACCCTGCCTGGTAGAGCTTTCAATAAATATTTATTGACTAATGAAAGGGCGGGAGCCCCTTCTTCTCAGTTGATAGGCTCAGACATGAGTCAGGATGCCTAACCTTGCCTTCATGTTAAATATTACACATACTTTGACATTTTTCTAAGAGGGGATCCATCCATACAGGTCTTCCTCCCTCTCACAAGGGGACAGCTGCCACCTTTCAGTATACTCATCTATTCTTCAAGTCCCAGGTCTAATCCTCTTCAGCTAGAATGAAACTGAGCAAAGGCCCTACGTGTAAGCCTGAAGATCAAGCTTCCCTTGATACTGAAGTGTCTGAAAATCAATATACTTCAGACACTCCCCAGACTGAGATGGCAGAACTGCCAGCCCCTGGGGTAGCAGACACTCTGGAGGAATCCAGAGGACACCCAACAGTGAAGAGGGACAGGAAGACAATTTGTTGCTACTATAAGCAATGGGTTTTGTACTCTGCAGAGTCTGGCAGGGAACATCAGGGCTGGGTGCTCTGTACTGAGAATAGCCCAAAGGAGCAGCTTTCCTGGTAGGGACAGCTGGGTAGGTAGGGAGGGTACCCTTGGGGAATAACAGGCTAGAGCACCTGTGGCTCCCCAGCACACACATGCATCCAACCCTGAGGCAGACAAGGCACCAGGGCAGAGCACAGCCTCCCCGTATTTATCAGTAGACTCTGCAGCCTGATAGGCCAGGACTCAAGACCCACAAAGCACCTGGTAGAGACAGCCAGACCTCCTTAGACCAAAAGAGACCTGACATGGCCTTGGGCCAGCTGTGGGCCAGTCAGACGTTCTGCCAGCCAAGTAAGGGACAGGTAAAACTACATGCTAGGCAGGAAAAGCCAACTTTTAATATACTCAAAATAAAACTCCTTCAGAAGAACTTTTTACTTTGGCCTAAAAAACCTGGTAGAGTTATAGCTTACCAGACATGTGCCTTGGGAGAGGTGACAAGGCACTTACCCTCTTTGAGCTATACACTTTTCATAAAAAGCAGGAATAAAAATAGTTATTTCTCACCACTAAGTTGTTGAGAGGTACGACCAGATGAATGACATCACGGGCTCAGTGCAATGCCCGGCATACGGCTGTAAGCTCTACTCTCTCCTCCCTCCTGTAAGGTGGGACCTAATCACTGCTGTCATGAGAACTGAGCTGGCTTGTTTATACAAAGACTTAGGTTACATCCACCCCCAAATCCACTTTTCCCAAATAAGGTTGTGTCTCCGAAATTAAGTAGCAAAGGAAACATCCCAAAGCCAGATATTGAGGGCTTAATTTGCTCTTTTGTTCAACAATATTTGAGTGCTTATTCTAAGCAAGGCACTGTGCTAGATGCTTTAGGAGAGGACAAGGCTAAATCAGATCTTGAACTCATCCTTATGGGGTCTAGGGTTTGACAGAGACGAGATGTGAGCAGGGTAACTGTGACAAGACAGAGCCAGGGTACTCCATGAGGAAGGGAATCAAGAGGGTTTCAGGAGAAAGTGAAGCTGGATTGGGAACTTGAAGGATGAGTAGCATGGAGATATGGACAGGCAGGAGGGAAGGGCCTTGTGGGCACAGAGAAAGCTAGGGAGAAGGCCCAGATGGGGGTAGCATGGGGAGCGTGTGCCACTGCCCTTTATATCCTACGTTCAGTTCTGCTAAAGCAAACGGGGCAAGAGGGAAACCAGAGAGACAGAGGCTGTGTGGCTGGAAAGCGGCCAGACTGCATGGCCACAAGGGCTCAAGGCTTCCTGCCATTTGATAATGGGAACCCACTCAAAACTTGTAAGGGGCGTCCCACTTTCAAGTCACGCTTCAGGAAGATCAATCCAAAGCATGTGAGGGTGGGCGGGCTGAGGGAAGGCATATAAATTGGGAAGTGGTGACCACAGCCAGGGTGTGAAAGGATGCAGGTCTTGAAATAGGGCAGGAGCTAGGAGGATGGGGGATGGAGGAGAGGGCCATGCTGAGATTTCAGAGAGGCACCCAGATATGACAAGAAGCCCACAGGCTCCCAGCACTCGCTCTCTGCATGTTCATGCCCCTTCTGGAGTAACAAGTGTACACTCGAGTCAAACATGAAGGATCCAAACAACAGAACTGGGATGTTTCTTACTGAGCCTCCTATCACCTGGCTGACGGGCCTGAGAACTGGCTGTGGTCCTCACTTATAACATGTTCATATTCTAGACTCATCATGGAAGATCCCCTGCATCCTAGCAGCTGCTCCATGCACACCAGAAGTGAGGGGTGGGCCATACGGAGAACAGAGAAGGGGGCAGTTCCTTGCCACTGATGGGGGTGGGATGAAAGGAGGCACAGCACCATGGGAAGGACTTTGTTCCTTAAGCACAGTAACAGGTGCCAGCAAGTCCTCAGGTCTGGCTATGGATTTTGCTTCTGAAAAATAATTACCAGTCAAATTAAACCTAAGTTTTCTTTTATTTAAAAGTTTGGGTAGGCTTCTAGCCCCCACACTTTTGGCCTAGGGGATCTTCCATGATTAGTCTAGAATATGAACATGTTATAAGTGAGGACCGCAGCCAGTTCTCAGGCCCGTCAGCCTCCGGCCTAGTTTCCAAGAGAGAGAAGAACACTCTCAGGTAGGAAAGTAACAGGCTTAGAGGCTGGGTCAGCCATCAGATGAGTTTTGAGCCCAGTCCAGGAGCTGTGTGCTAGAACCTCAATCCCACCTCACCATGTCTGGGCCCTGCCCCTAAAAGGGCTCAGAGATGGCTCTGACTGTCCTCATGGCATGGCACTGTGAGGTCCTGGAGAGCAGGTGCCCTGCACATCCATCTGGTGGCTCTCAGGGTCTAGTGCAGTACTAGGCATGCAAGTGGGTGTCAGTGGATGCAGAACCAACCTTGCATGAGGAATGCCATGCCTACCATGATGGCTGCAATTTCGGCAGTCATTCTGGGACTCAATCTGCACCCTACGCCTGCCTTGGGAGGCCAGGGTTACTCTCCATGAGGTGGCTTTGGTAGGTACAGTGCAGTTGAGAGGTGTTCTGCTTTGACTGAACATTTGGGAAGAGATAACCTACAGGAGAAGTTCAATTTTATATCCCGGTGGGACATGAGTACAACCTTTTGCTTGATGAACTATTTGAAAGAGAATTGACAGGAATTGGCCTAAACCATTATTGGCTGAATTTCTAAGGAAAATTTCCAGGTGGAAATGGCTTCCTAAAAATTTATTTATTTATTTATTTTGAGACAGAGTCTCCCTCTGTCACTCAGGTTGCAGTGCAGTGGCATGATCTCGGCTCACTGCAACCTCCGCCTCCTGGGTTCAAGTGATTCTTCTGCCTCAGCCTCCTGAGTAGCTGGGATTACAAGCACCCACCACCATGCCCAGCTAATTTTTTGTATTTTTAGTAGAGACGGGGTTTCACCATGTTGGTCAGGCTGGTCTCAAACTCCTGACCTTGTGATCTGCCCACCTCAGCCTCCCAAAATGCTGAGATTACAGGCATGAGCCATTGCGCCTGGCCCCTAAATATTCTACAATAGAATTTTGGCAACCTACAATATGCTTATGTTTCTGAATAAAATAATGCCCCCTTCCATTCACGATGGGGTTCTGGTTTTATAATTTTGATAAACAAAACAACAAAACCAGTTAATATCAAAGAACTCATAAACAGAAGCACCCCATGGAAATTTAAATAGGCTTTAAAATTAAAACTTTTATTAATGCAAAGACCTTTTAGATCCAACTTTCTCCTGCATTTTATTTTTCCATTTTAGAAGATCTGTCTCTTAATCTGAATCACTTTCTGGCCAAATTACCTGCTGAAGAACTTAGGTTTCAGGCTGGTGAATGTCTGTGGCTGCCTAACCCCAGTCTCCAGCATTTGGCTGCAAGCAAGCCACAGCTTTTTTGAGACAGAGTCTCACTCTGTCATCCAGGCTGGAGTATAGTGGCACAATCCTGGCTCACTGCAACCTCTGCCTTCCTGGGTTCGAGCAATTCTCCCACCTCAACTTCCCGAGTAGCTGGGATGATAGGTGTGTTCCACCACATCTGGCTAATTTTTCTATTTTTAGTAGACATGGGGTTTCGCCGTGTTGGCCAGGCTGGCCTGAAACTCTCAACCTCAAGTGATCCACCCGCCTTGGCTTCCCAAAATGCTGGGATTACAGGTGTCAGCCACTGTGCCTGCAAAGCCACTGCTTGAAATGGCATCTCTGTGTCCTTGTTATCTGGTTACTCACAGAAGGAAGAGGACAGTAGGTGGGTCCCCTAATATTTTCCAAGAAAATATCAGGAAGACTAATGGGATAATCCCCCAAAAAGGGGAGTTTCTTTCTATAAAGATATTTGAAATGTAAGTTTCTTTCTGTAAAGATACTTGATATTTGAAATGTACTGACAGGGGCTGCATGTGGTGGCTCACACGTGTAATCCCAGCATTTTGAGTCCGAAGTGAGTGGATCTCTTGAGCCCAGGAGTTCGACACCAGCCTAGGCAAGATGGCGAAAACTCATCTCTACAAAAAAATACAAAAATTTAGTTGGGCATGGTGGCACATGCCTGTAGTCCCAGCTACTTGGGCAGCTGAGGTGAAAGGATTGCTTGAGCCCAGAAGTCAAGGCTGCAGTGAGCTGTGATTGCACCACTGTACTCTGGCCTGGGCAACAGAGTGAGACCCTGCCTCAAAAAGAAACAAAAAAAAAAAAAAGAGGAAATACTGACTGAAGTGAAAGGCAGAATTAAATTCCATCTCAAAGAAACCTCATGTAGCAACAATGAATGAACAGCTTTGAGCCAGGAAAGGAGAGGGTCAGCAGCAGGTTTAGAAGCTACTGGTTTGGTGCCACCCCAGCCCCTACTCCCCAGCAGGACAGAACCTCTGCACATGACCATAGTCAAAATGCAGAGCCTTTATGTATCTCCTAGGATAGACTTTAGAAGCTCCTTTTTGGGTGGGGCTGCCTATAAATCTTTTAAAGTTTTTCAGATCAGAATATAAATGTCCTTCTCCAGCATTCTCATTTGAGAGATAAAATCATGATCAAAGGAGAAATCAACAGCAAGGGTAGCAGTAAGTTCTTCTAAAGCTGAGGAACAGGCTGAGAGAGGTGATGGCACTTACAAAAGGGAACTGTGCTGTAAAGATAAATTGTTCCTTGGTTTGCAAACTTCCCTGCCCAGCAGCTGCTGGAAAAGCATTTGTAAATAGCTGGAGGGCTGTCAGCACCTTCCAGTCAGATTAACTTTGGCTCTGTATAAGGCAGAGTGTCAGTGGAGGAAATGGAGGGGCAGCTATTCTTATTCCTGCCAATTTTACTTTAGGCCAAACTAAAGGACTGCATTCTTCTCTTGAAGACACTCAGTTTACTTCAACTTCAGGTCACCATTCCCTAATGATATGATGAAGGAGAGCCACTTTTCATACAGAAGTGGGAGAGAGAAACTCACAAGGGTCCGGCGAGAGCCAGAGGCAGGTGCACATGCCCTGCACTGGACTGAAGGTGGGGGTGCTCACCTGACTGTGGAGTCGCTGCAGCTCTTCTAGGCTTTGCCTCAGTTTACCCCTCTCTCCCTCCATGAGCTCTCTCAGGGCTCTTGAGTCCTCACTGGTCTGCCTTATCTGTTCTTCTAAGGAGTCATCATCAAGTCTCCGGGAGCTCTGACAGCAAAAGAAAGACAGCCAGACAGTGATGGTAATGGTAGAGGAGAGATGGGGAGGGGTGAGAGAGATGGTTAGTGGGGAGAGAGAAGGAAAGGAGAAATGGGGGACAGCAGAGAAATGGTATGGGGAAAGAGTAGGGAAGATGGAAGGAAAGAGAAAAAGGAGGGCAGAGACAAAAGATGGAAGGAAGAAGGGGTGGAGAAGAGAGATTGCTCAATTTCAACCTGTAAGCAGATGTTCACTTTCGTTTCAGGCTTGAGGAAAAGGAAGCTGTGTGGCGTGAACAGCACACCACAGTCTGATAGCTCTCTTCTCCCACAATGACCTGGCCTCATATTACAATACCTCCACAAATCAACACCGCATGATCAGACAGAACAGCTGTCCTTCATCTTACTTTACCCAATACAGGTAGAAAGACACAACTTTTCTGTAGGAGGATGGAACATGAGGAGAAATAATAGCCCAAAAGGTAGGAGTGTGAGTAGAGGGTAAGTCAGGGAGAAATCTGTCATGAAGCCAGAAGAAATGCCAGTCTGCCCAGGATGCCCATGGAAACAGTCCTCTCCTCCATAGGTGGCCACATCTGGGATTCTAGAGCTGATCTTCTTAGAACTGATCTTCTCAACTTTCTGTGCTCATTTACATTCTTTTAGTGGAAGCTTCAGATCTTTTACTTTTGCCAATTCACAGCTAACCCTACCACTAGGACCAAATGGCTACAGAATAGCAATTTATAGTTTTTACTTGTATCCAAACTTCTATATGCAAAATTTCCAAGGAAATTTAAACTGGAAGCCGCATTGTCTGTGCATTACTACCTGAAGAAAAGGTCTCCATGTGTACCTGGTGTCTGCAGGAAGCTGACTTTGGAGCCCTGACACTTGGCCCCTGTGCTTCATCACACAAGTAGTTGGTGTTCTCAAACAATAAGGGCTCACGGACAGGCACAGTGGCTCATGCCTGCAATCCCAGCACTTTGGGAGGCTGAGATGGGTGTATCACTTGAGGTCAAGAGTTCAAAACTAGCCTGGCCAACATGGTGAAACCCTGTCTCTACTAAAAGTAAAAAAATTAGCTGGGTATGGTGGTGAGCGCCTGTAATCCCAGCTACTCAGGAGGCTGAGGCACAAGAATCACTTGAACCCGGAAGGCAGAGGTTACAGTGAGCCAAGATTGTGCCACTACACTCCAGCTGGGGCGACAGAGTGAGACTCTGTCTCAAAAACAAAAACGAGACAAAACAAAACAAAACAAAACAGTAAGGGCTCAGAAGAAATTCTTGGAGATATTTCATAGGGTTTCAGTTCCAGGGCTGATCTCACCTTCTGTACTGGGTTCTAACCTGCCAATAGCCAGCTCCTGCGGGGTAAGGACCATCTCAGACTGGCCTCTTACCGTGGGCTCCATGCCATCCACAATACTCTGTATCAGTCTCTTGAGCTCGTTGAGGGCAGTGCGCAAGCTGCCGGCTGGCACATCTTTGGCAGACGAGGTTTCTGAAGACTCGTCCATGGAGGAGTCTGTGGAGACGGCCGAGTCAGCGCTGTCATTGCCTCGAAGATGTGAGCACAGATAGCGAACCTGGCAGTAGGCTTCCCAGAGCTGCAGTCTCAGCTGTTCCACAGAGAATTATTCTTCATTATGGACTCTAGAGAAAACTGCCATCTGGCCATCTTTTTCTAGCATCTGAACCCAAAATACTGACACCCAAGACACTAGTTCGAGGAGAAGGGGCTTTTTGTTCTGTTTGTTTTTTTAACTTATTGGTCCCAAGAAATAATACTTATTCTGAGCCAAGTACATCTATATAGACTCCAACTTCTTATTTTCCCCATTCTCTAGCTTCTTCCATTTGCAAAATAAATCACTTCTTTATGTAATCAGTTTGGTGGGAGTCAGAAACCAATTAGTAGAATGAATGGTTCTAGGTATTACAAAAAGTATGAAAAGAAACCAATTAGATGGGGAAGATGGATCATGATTGCTCTGGAACTCTGTCAATATAGGAGGTATGGAGCTGATGGCACAAGCATTTCCTAAGAGGAACTGGGGTGACAATGACTGGGAACTGGCTGTACCTGTGATACTCTGTCCTCTAGCAATTCAATGCCTTAATGGATAAGGTGGGTGGAAAATGAAGGGCCAGGGACATGCTACATCAAGGCCTGCTTCACAACACTCTAGCCAGCAGGCCAAGGGGCTGACACAGGCACAGGGGCACAGCCTTGCCAGGCTGGCAGCTGAGCACTAGGGAGGATGGGCCCTGAGCAACTCCAGGGAGCCTCTCCTGTGGGGTAACAGGCAGGTCAGCACCTGCTCTCGCTCTTGCTCCAGCTCCTCGGCCTCCATGCTCTGCTCAATCTCTGACAGGAGGGATGTGCTGGTGGCGGCAGAGCTCTGCAGACTCCTCTCCTCATTGAGTTCTTCCACCTTCACCTGTAGCTGTCGGCAGGAGAGACGCACCTCCTGAAGCTCCAGCTGGCTTTGGTGCAGCTTTCAAAGGAAGAGCAAATGGTAGTGAGGTTTACCAAACACAAAAACCGAGACAAACTGACCCTCAACCTGATCATGCTTCTGGGTCCAACCACCAATTTACAGAAAAATAAACAGGAGAGAGGAACGTGTTAAACTGCATCAGGAGATGCACTCAGCAAAATCCTGATCTAGAAAATTCTGGCCGGGCGTGGTGGCTCATGCCTGTAATCCCAGCACTTTGGGAGGCCGAAGCAGGCAGATCACCTAAGGTCAGGAGTTCAAGACCAGCCTAGCCAATATGCTGAAACCCTGTCTCTATTAAAAATACAAAAATTAGCTGGGCATGGTGGTGGGTGCCTGAAATCCCAGGTGCTCGGGGACTGAGGCAGGAGAATTACTTGAATCCGGGAGGTGGAGGTTGCAGTGAGCAGAGATTGTGTCACTGCGTTCCAGCCTGGGTGACCGTGTGAGACTCCATCTCAAATAAAAGAAAATTCTACAGGACAAACATCTCCATTTTCTTAACAAAAACAATGTAAGGGGAAAAAAAAAAAGATAAAGGAGAAACACAGAAATAAAAAAAGAGGCCGGGCGCGGTGGCTCACGCCTGTAATCCCAGCACTTTGGGAGGCCGAGGCGGGTGGATCACGAGGTCAAGAGATCGAGACCATCCTGGTCAACATGGTGAAACCCCGTCTCTACTAAAACTACAAAAAATTAGCTGGGCATGGTGGCACGTGCCTGTAATCCCAGCTACTCAGGAGGCTGAGGCAGGAGAATTGCCTGAACCCAGGAGGTGGAGGTTGCGGTGAGCCGAGATCACGCCATTGCACTCCAGCCTGGGTAACAAGAGCGAAACTCCGTCTCAAAAAAAAAAAAAAAAAAAAAAAGAAATAAAAAAAGACTAGAGTTATACCAACCAGGCCTGGCACGGTGGCTCTCGCCTGTAACACCAGCATTTTGGAAGGCCAAAGTGGGCTGATAACCTGAGATCAGGAGATCAAGACCAATCTGGCCAACATGGTGAAACCTGTCTCTACTAAAAATACAAAAATTAGCTGGGTGTGGTGATGGGCGCCTGTAATCCCAGCTACTTGGGAGGCTGAGGTAGGAGAATTGCTTGAACCTAGGAGGCAGAGGTTACAGTGAACAGAGATTGCACCATTGCACTCCAGCCTGGATGACAAGAGCAAAAACTGCGTCTTGAAAAAAAAAAAGTTATACCAACCAATTGCACTGTATAGGCCCATTTTAATTTATATCTTGATTCAAACAACAACTGTGAAAAAAATATGACATTAATAAAACAAGTGAAAATTTGAAAACTCACTGGACATTTTGTGATATTAAGAAAATATAATTTTTTTGGTATAATAGTATTGTAGTTACATTTTTAAAAGTTCCTATCTTTTAGAGGTTAGTACTTTTTATTTACAGACGCACTTACTAAAATTTCAGATTTACTTCAAAATAACATGAGAGAAAAGGAAATGGATGTTATGAAGATGGGGCAGCACTGGCCAGGGATAGGTGGTTTTCAGAGCTGGGCTTCATTACACTGTGCCACTGTGGAATGTTTGAAATCCTTTGTAATAAAAAATCAAACACACACACACAGGCACACAAAGTTAGATACCATTAGACTCTCACCAATGTGGCTAACATAAATAATACAAATAATATCAAGTGTTGATCAAGATGTGGGGCAATGCTGGTGGGAGTGGAAAATGTACAAATACATTGGAAAATTGGCAGTTTCTAATAAAGTTAAACACAATCTATATTCCACAATCCACTTTTGGCTGTAGACCCAACAAAAATGAAATGTGCACAACCGACATATACAGGATGTTCAAATAGCCACAAACGGGAAACAATCAAAATGCCAATAAAACTAGAGTCAGTAAATTGTTCACATGTTGCAATACTGCACAACAATGAAAGAATATACTGCGACTACATGTCACAACATGGTTAAATTTCATAGACACAATGTTGAACAAAAGCCAGACATAAAAAGTATACATGATTCTATTTATAAAACATTCCCAAACTTCACTGAGGTAGAAGAAAGTTGGAGTAGAGGTTGGCTTTTGAGGAAGTGGCAAGTATTCTTTTTAGGGTGCTGATCATGGTCTGTATCTAGATCTCAATGATGGTTACACGGATATATATTTGTAAAAACTAACTGGGCTGTCCCCTTAAGATTTTTTGAAGATCTCTGAGGGAAGCTTCAGTTCTAACTCTCATGGGCAGAAAGTACATATTTTTGCCATGTCTAATATCAGTCCTTCATCCTGTGCGAAAGAGCTTATTGCTTGGAGCTATTCCTTTTCAATAGCTTTCCAAATAGCTCTATTCTGCAAGCCAAATATTATATATATTATATACCCTTAAGGCTATTCCCAGCCTCTCTCTCTTGATTTTTAAATGATCACAGAGATTTTCACATAAACCTACATTTTTAGAGCTGGCAGAGCCACAGAGATCAATGAATCCAACTATCTCAGGATAAAATTGAAGCTTAGAAAAAGGGAATGGCGCCAGTGGTAGAGAGAAGAAAGCAGCACAGGGGTCAGAATTGTGGGCAGTGCTCTTTCCTTCTCTCTCCATGCTGCTACTTCAGCCCCTCCACTCCACTGCATTCTCCATGGCCCCTTCTGTGTGGAGTTCACAACAGGGCACAACTCTCTGGGGAGGTTACTACTGCTGAATATAAGGGGATGACCCAACCACAACTGCTAAATGCTGTTTTTTTTTTTTTTTTCTGAGTCTCTGTCACCTAGGCTAGAGTGCAGTGGCATGATCTTGGTTCACTGCAACCTCTGCCTCCTGGGTTCAAGTGATTCTCCTGCCTCAGCCTCCTGAGTAGCTGGGACCACAGGCATGTGCTGCCATGTCCGGCTAAATATTTTATTTTTAGTAGAGACAGGATTTACCATGTTGGCCAGGATGGTCTCGAACTCCTGACCTCAGGTGATCTGCCTGTCTTGGCTTCCTAAAGTGCTGGGATTATAGGCATGAACCACCGCGTCCGGCCTAAATGCTACCTTCTTATCTGTGCACTCCCCATGACTAACTTGCCTTTTTTTTTTTTTCGAGACAGAGTTTCGCTCTTGTTACCCAGGCTGGAGTGCAATGGCGCAGTCTCAGCTCACCACAACCTCTGCCTCCTGGGTTCAGGCAATTCTCCTGCCTCAGCCTCCTGAGTAGATGGGATTACAGGCACGCACCACCATGCCCAGCTAATTTTTTGTATTTTTAGTAAAGACAGGGTTTCACCATGTTGACCAGGATGGTCTCGATCTCTTGACCTCGTGATCCACCCGCCTCGACCTCCCAAAATGCTGGGATTACAGGCGTGAGACACCGAGCCCGTCCGCCCGTCCGACTAACTTGCTTTTAATACGGCAGATCCTAGTTGTAGAATTGTCATCAGTTTGCTAGCGGCTAGGCACATGGCCACATGCCACATCTGCCCAGAAGCAACGTTTCCTACTCTTCCTATTTGTGGACTGCAATGCCCCCTCCTCCTTAGAAGACTTGCGGGAAATTGGGGGGTAGAATTTCCTGGGATTTAAATTAGGCTAATTTATTCTTTCATAACACATTTTTGGGGTCACCTCTGTTCCATTAAAAAGAGAGTAGACACTGCACTGGTCTTTTCCAGACTCTTGGCCGAGTTGGCTTGTGGCTCCTGCAGAGATACAGACTGGAGTGGCTGGCAGCCAATTAGAGCTCTGTAGTTCTCATAAAAGAAGCAAGCTGCCTTGCAGAGCCTTTGGCCTATCACTTAGGTGCCCTGGGAGCCTAACCTTCACCGTCCGTACTTGGAAATGATTGGCTAATGGCACCAGTGTTCTGGAACAGCCTTAATGAGGAAGGGTTTGGTGCCCAGTTGCCCAGAGAAGGAAGAAAGGATTGGCAAGCCTGCTCTGAGTAGTTCTGGTGGATCAGCAATACCTACTGGTCCAGTGGGAACTTCTCCAACCCCAGTTTTGAAGAAACTCAGAAAGAAAAACATCAGAGTTACAGGAAAAAAGGAGACATTCCTAGGAAGCATTTGGCACAATTACAAATGTCATATTAAACTGGCAAAATGCTTCACAATTATTTTTTAGACAACTCCACACACATCTCAGCAGGAGAAGTTAGGCAGAAACAAGCACAGGTTCTTACGTGCTGAACAAAATTAGTTCAATTACTCATGCACACTCAAAGGTGCTTAATTAATGATAACAGCAAGAGAACAAAGACCAGCAGAGGTCTGCATTCTCCAGTCAACAGCTGATTCACCAACTGGACAGACTTAGGCAGAAAAACCAAACTACACAAGAGAAGAGTCTATTACATATAAGAGCCCTTTAAAATGAGAAACATTGGGTCAGGCGTGGTGGCTCAGCCTGGAATCCCAGCACTTTGGGAGGCTGAGATGGGTGGATCACAAGGTCAGGAGTTCGAGACCAGCATGGTCAACATGGTGAAACCACATCTCTACTAGAAATACAAAAATCAGCCAGGTGTGGTGGCACATGTCTGTAATCCCAACTATTCAAGAGACTGAGGCAAGAGAATCACTTGAACCTGGGAGGAGGAGGTTGCAGTGAGCTGAGATCACGCCACTGCACTCCAGCCTGGGTGACAGAGCAAAACTCCGTCACAAAAAAATAAATAAAAATTAAAAATAAGAAACATATCATCCTTTATCTAACAAAGATGACACTAAGTAAACTTACATGTGTGAATAAGAATGACACTAAATGCTTTGTGTTTGTATAGTACACTACATTTAAGCTCCTCTGAGGGAACTGGGATGTTGTGATGTGAAGTGATTTGTCAAATGGTAGACAATCAGCATTAGGGCAAGGTCTAGACTCCACATCACCTGCTTCCTGGGTTGTCCCACAGTGAGCAGGGCCTGTGCTCTGCTGATGGACTCCAACCACTTACTGGGACTAGACACTGCACACATCTGTAAGATGTCCAGCTGGGTATGAGACAGGACAGTTAAGTGGTCCTTAGAGGGACAAACAGATTTCCTTTATTGGATAATAGGAGTTTGGCAAAATACTTGATATATACTGGGTGCTCAGTAAATAATACTTTTTATCTTTATTCTCAGGTCTAAAAAAATTCAGAGTTGGATTTGATCAATTGTTTAAATCTGTTTTTGACAGCAGGACCCCAATTATATAGTGAAAGAGATCAAAAGGGGGCTCCCCTGGTTGTGGCAGGCTTGTTGCCTCACCTGCTCAGCCATCCCTACCCTTGTCTGAGGATTTAAAATCAAGGGATTAAACACATTTCAAGGCCACTAGCTGTACATTTTGCAAGTATGGTTTAGAATCACTCAGCTGCTACTTGAGTAAGCTGGCTTTTTTTATTTCTGTGTCAGTACAGACCATTTCAGCAACAGAAAGGACTTTCTAGAGGACACTGGTAATTAGTGGCAACTTGAGAGTTTCACATGAACTGAGGGACTGTAGTGATAAGTTGTTAGGGAAGATGAGAATTCAGCCTATAAATGCAGATTTTCCAAATCAATTGAGTACTGCCTGACTTGCTGCAGATTCTTAGGTGAATCACACCATCTCAGTCTTGAAGTTCAACAGGAAGACAGTGGATGTGCACATGGTGAGCAAGTGCATGCGGCATGATGGGATTCTCACTGCTCAAGCATGTGCAGCCCACAGTGCTGGTCAGGCCCCTGAGGGCCAACTAGTTCTGCCTCTTCCCCCCAACCCCGGCCCCCAATTCTTGATTTGACATAGACTTTTCACTGTAAATTCATGCTAAACTGAAAGTTTCTTTTAGGTAAGGGCCATTTTTCTCATTCTCCATACTTATCTTCCTTCTCCTCCCATATCTCAGCAACCCTCAGTAGAGTGCTTGATAGGGGAATAAATGCTGGTCAGGAACTGATGTTCAGAAACAAGTGATACCAAGAAGTTATCACTGAGCTACAGGCAAAGCAGGTGAGAGAGTTCCAGTCTCGATTCTACCAAAGATTCACTATATGACTTTGGATAAACGATTCAGTTTTTCTAAATCTCAGCTTTATGATGTATGCTAAAGATATACGCAAAAAGCACTCTATATGCTAAAGAGGCACCCAAGTTCACTGCTATTATCATCAACCTTGAAAAACGAGCAAACTCTTTTCCATCTTGAAAACTGCTGTAAAGTCTTCAGACAGCACCATTTTCTACTCAACATTTACTGAGGCATTATTATTAATATATGAAAAGTTACTAGCTGAAGGCACTAAAAACATGGAGAAAGAAAAGCCATTAATTTTCCCTCAGAGAGGTTCATCACTCAGGTGTCAGCTTAGCTGATGGTGTCAGAGACAAGTAATCTTAGCCCAAGACACTATTTTCCTTATCCCATAACCCAAGGCTTTCAAACAGCCTACACAGGAGCCCAGTGGGACCTTCTGTGGCCTGGCCTCTGGGCAGAGACCCACCTGGTGCTTGAGTACACCTGGCTGATCACCTCTGCACAAACATTACTGTTGCAATCTAATGCACTCCCTGGCATGTACAGAGAATGCCTAAGGGAAGCAATGCACTCCTAATTTCTGACCCCAGATCCTCCTAGGCCAGCGGAGCAAAGCATCTTGGTAGCAGATGCTATACTCTATTTCTGGGGAGACTGGAATGATGATATCTTTTTGTTTTGGGAGTTGTTTCTTGTCAAGTATGAGCTTGGGGATTCAGCTGAGGCCTGGCAGCAGTTCCCAAATAAGAACAAATACGGCCATGAAGCAATTTCCATCAGGAAGTAAAAAAGAGACTGATTAGGCTCACAAAGGGGTCAGTCTATGCCTTTTCTGGCAATTGGCAGAAGTAGAATATAAATCTTGCTGTGTTCAGTGGGCAGCTTCCTGGTTTCTGCTCCATGCCAGCCAACTAAATCCGTGAGCTTGGGAAGGCAGCAGCAGAATGCATTGTGAGCTGAGTTAGAGAGAAGTCACAGGCTCCCTCTGAAACCTTCTAGCAGATTTTACAAATGTTAGGAGGCCAGAATAGCACTCCTAGCCCTGTTCCAGCCATGTTAATAACCCAGAAAGAACTCTGTGACACTGCTCCATGGGCCAGTGGTTCAGAACACTCTGGAGAAATGATCTGTGGGTGGCAATACACTTCCTTTAGACAGAGTCAAAAGAGCCAAGTTAGTGAATGCCCCAGGGACCACAGTGAGATCTCAGCGTCATCCACCCCTGGCTTGCCCCAGCAGTGATGCTGGCCTCCCAGCTTTTTCTTTTTGGCTATGTGCTCCTTTTATCTGGCCCTAGTTCTCCAGGACAGCTTCTCTACCCCGGTACCTGTAGGTCCTTGTCATGACCCTGCCTCTCCAGGATTAGCACCCGGTCCTGTAGTTCCTCCACGGTCCCTTGGAGCAGGTCATTTTCCTCTAAAGTAGCGCTGAGACGATGCTCCAGCTCCCGTTTGCGATCTGACAGCATCTTGATCTGAAAGGGTGGAGAGCCACAGGGGTGGTGTGGAGTTACACCCAGGCTGACAAGTAGGAAGTAGGGATTAGCCCAAAAACATGAAGGCAAGTATCTTTCAGTGTTCTGCCCAATGTCATGGTACCCCCATCTCTGAGAGAACAGCTATGAAACTCTAAGCTGAAGAGAAAACCCCTCCCCACTCTAGAAACCTGTCTGGGAAGGGGTGGGAGTTGAGCTCTGGGGAAGCTGGAATGTGGGATGCCAGGCAGGGAGGGAAGGCTAGTGCTCTGGAAATTCCAGAGATAAGATAAAAAAAGGGCTCTACCTTACCTGCCCTTAACTTTACCCCAAACTTCCAATTAGCAGGAGGAGTGAACCTAACCTGCTGCACTACTTCTTCTCAAGTCATGAGCATGAGAAAATGCCCAGGAAATCCTCTGGAGCGCCATGTTTTCACACCCAGGGATCCCCCTCTGTCTTCTCTTCCCCACTTCTGGCCTCTCTGGCACTAGAGGTCACAGCTCAGATCCAGTGCCTTGAGTTAAGGGTAGAGTTCCCAGGGTACAGAAAGCAAAGTAATCCCTGCATCAGCCTGTGTCCTGGGACAGAACAGGGCACAGATACAAGTGAATCCTGACTTTACTCAGAGTAACTTTTACCTGAGTGAGTCATTTGTAACACGATATGTTATGTTCGTACACACTGAATACCTAGTCAGTCTCCAGATAAGTAAACCTTCTTTTAGGAAAGTATGTCTAATTTCTTCAGTGTCATTGAGAAAACAGAGGAAAAGAGGAAGGAGATGCCAAGTCTCCTCTGGCCTCAAGGTATGCGGGTGAGAAACTGAGCCAATGCTCCCCAAGGCCAGGAATGCTTTGCTCAAAGATCACTACCCCGGCTCAGGAGCTCCAGAAAGCCTTCCCAATTGGGTCTGACTCTTGGGGGACCTTCTAGAATCCTGGAGTTCCTTGTGGATCCTCCCATTTATCAGTGCCCTGCTGGACTGATTCTCAACCAGCTTCTTGCTTCTGAATACTATACTTTCCTAACATGGTTAAAACATTCTCTAGGTTCTTTAGTCCAGCCTGGATAACAATTCCTTAAGGCTCTTACTTGGGCAAGTTTTGGGAACCAACCTTAGAAATTTTCCAGGGGAAATTCTAAAATGAATGTCTAGCTCCTTTAAAGTCCTATGAGATATACTTTTCCCTTCGCTTTTTAGCTGTTCTCACTCTCTGAGCTAGAATTCTGCTCACAGGGCACTGATCTTCTCTGGCCACCAATCAATCAGATAGGATGTTGTCCTGGGGAAATGAAGTATGTGGCCTTTGTCCAGAGAGATCAGGTATCTGGTCAAACAAAGAAATATTGTCTCTCAAGTGTGCACCTGGGTAGGGGACCAAAAGGAGCAAGCCCCTTTTGTGAATGGGCCCACTATTTCCTACACTGAAACAAAGTTACCCATGTGAAGAGAATTCTTACTCTAGCTGATTTTCATTTAAATACCCTCTGACCTTTAAATTTTCCTTCCCATGAATCGTCTTTGTTTCCCAAGTTTCAGTCAGTGAAGTGATGAGGTGATAAGATTCTGATACACAACTGATCCTGAAAAAACATAGTGTGGAGCTACACAAAGTGAAACTAACAATTTCATGCTTGACTTTTTTTTTCCTTTTTTGAGATGAAATCTCACTGCGTCGCCCAGGCTGGAGTGCAGTGGCACGATCTCGGCTCATTGCAACCTCTGCCTCCCTGGTTCAAGTGATTCTCTTGCCTCAGCCTCCTGAGTAGCTGGGATTACAGGCATGTGCCACCACACCCAGCTAATTTTTGTATTTTTAGTAGAGACGGAGTTCACCACGTTGGTCAGGCTGGTCTTGAACTCCTGACCTCATGATCTGCCTTCCTCGGCCTCCCAAAGTGCTGGGATTACAGGCATAAGCCACCGTGCCCGGCCTCATAGCTTGACTTTTAAAGGTAGCAGTGTTTATGGACAAAACAAGGAATCAGCATTAGGCCACCAACTCCCTCACCCAGCCCTATACACCCTGAAACTTGTGAACAAATCTGGCAATAAACATTACTGGGAATGACCTGGACATGAGGGTCTAGAAAAAGTGAACAGGTGGGGGGAAAGAGGAAGACAGGAACTTGAAGGAGTCAGGGCATGGCAGAGGCAGGTGAATGGCAAGTCATGCACACAAATGGTCACACACAGGCATGCCAAACCCCACTGGAACAAACTACTTACTTCAAGGACCTGCTGCTCAATACCAGTAAGCATTCCAAGGGAAAGGGAGAAGAAATGAAATGGGAGGTAGGAGAAAAGAGAAGATATTGACAGGCTTTAGGAAAAACATCCTCAGGTCATTTACTGAGCAGGGGAGAAGGCTATCTGGGGTTTCTCTGGCCTGACCATGATGACTGATCGCTTCATCATGGTGGAAGGTTCAACATTCAACCTGGCTCTAAACTGTCCTTGAAACTTTGACTTAGCGAAGGGGTTGCTGTCTGGATACTTGGCTAAAGGATCCTCAAAAGCAGAGCAGGTGGAAGCCTGCCCCGGGGGGAGGCCTGGTTTGGGCTGGTGATAAGATCCTTACCCTCTCCTCACCTTCCACAACCAGATTCACATAGTATTGTTCCCCTGTTGATATTTTCTTTTCCCCAGAGGCCTCTCCTATGTTTTCAATAACATCACTGTGTTCCAGGTATCATATGAAGTGCCTTTTATGCATTAACCCATAACATCTTCACAAAAACCTATGAAGCAGAAACTTCTATTTCTCTCATTTTGTAGATGAGAATAACAGATCTTATTAAGATGGACTGAACTGGGCCTAAATGGAATAGAGAGAGGCGAGGTGCCATTTCCCACCTTCTACTTGGGATTGGCAAGGATATTTTTGGAGAGAGCAACATAGTCAGTATAATGTAGGTCATTCGTGATTTCAACATATCCGGCAGTAACTCTGAGCAACTTCATTTTTCCAGACAACAGGCTACGCAGAAACATGCATCAAATGTTCCCCATTAAGTTTTACACAGAAAGGTCTTTCTGTAGGAATTTTAGTCCCTTTGTCTCCCAGTGCAGAGCTCCCAGTGAGAAAAGCATTCCATCTTCCAGTACTGCTGCGTGGGAAGGCTCACCTCGGCCTGAAGGCTTTCCAGCCGGATGATGTGCTGGTTGGTTGACGAGTTTTTCTCCCGAAAGTCTTCTCTGAGGGCGTGGACCTGCATGGAGAGCTGTCTCTCAACTTCTGATGCCTGAAACAGAGGAGACCTGCAGAGCTGATTCAGAGGTTGTGCACAGAGGTCTATTAAGATTTCTGCCTTTCATTTATCAAGCATCTCTTTGTACTTTCCATTCTATAAGGAGCACTAGATGAGATGCTGGTTTCCCACCCGCAATCCATTTGTTCACTAGTGCCAAACAGGACAAACTCCCACCCCCACCTCCACCATTAATGGCTCTGTCTTGGTCCAAGAACACTTTACACATCAGAGGAAACAGCCCTAGAAAACAGTATGCTCTCAAATGTTAGTTAACATTATTACTCTACATATAGCAGAAACTCAGCAAATATCTACTACATTGAAAGTCTGAATATTTTACATGAAGGAATAAGATGGTTATACCTACTGCCTTAGAAATTCCTTTGTTTCTCCCATCAATCTCCTCAAGTGGGCTCAGTCAAATCACATGTGTGTGCATTTCTCTCCTCTACATAACATGGGCACACTATTTGAAATTCCTTGTTATACCTGTTAAGATTTTTGCCGCTCATTCCTCAAGGACATTTTTGCAACTTTTAATTCTTTGGGGAGTGCCAGCAGAGGTGCCTATTTCCCACCTCAATCCATTTATTATCTAATGCTAAAATACAGCAAACACCAAATACCATTTGATGTTGTGTAGGAGGCTCACCTGGTAACACAAACTCCAGCCCTCCTCCTGAGGTCCCAGCCCAGACCCTGCTGAGGGAGCCCTGCTCACTGTCCTGTGGAGAGGAGAGCCACGGGACAAATTAAGTAACTGCCTCAATGCTTTTTCCGAGGCCAAATGGGGTCAGTAAGCTTTATGGGTTCTTGGGAGAGATCACCGTGTGCTGGAATGGCCAGGAAAGGCCTTCCGAGGAGGTAGGATGTAATAATATTGAAATAGTAGGCTAGCTGTTCAATGAGGCTCTCACAGTAATGGTTACATGTCAATAGTTCTTTTTATCTTCAAATACTATATAATCAATTGTCCATCTTTTTTAAAATTTTTGCTTCCACATATTCAACAAATGTTACTTCACTGGACTACAGAGGCACAGAAGATTCTTAATCTACAGTCCTATTTTTAAAACAATTAAAAAACACAAAATAAAATAAAATCAAACCACACTCTAGTTGATTTTCATTTAAATATCCTCTGATCTTTAAATTTTCCTTCCTATGAATTATCTTTGTTTCCCAAGTTTCAGTCAGTGAAGTAATGAGCTAAGAAGATTCTGACATACACCTAACTCCTTAAAAAACTTAGAAGTTCAGAGCTACATGAAGTAACTTGACTTTATGACGCAAGGAATCAGCATTAGGCTGCCAACTCCCTCACCCCACCCTACACACCCTGAAACTTGTCAATAATGCTGGCAATAAACATTCCTGGGAATGTTTCCCCTATATTATTTCTCCTTTACAATCTAAATTTAATTTCAGATACGCACTAGGCTGTTTTAGACTTCTCAATCACTTAGAAACACATTAGTCACTCACTTTTGCCTAAGAATCACATTAGTAATATTTACTGAGTACATGCTATGTGTCAAGAACTTTGCTAAATGCTTTCGATGCATTATCTTGATTGTTACCCCCAATTTACTAACAAGGAAATGGGCTCAGGAAAGTGAAGGAACTTGCCCAAGAATCGGGATGGTAAAAACTTTGGGCTGGGCTGCGTGCGCTGGCTCATGCCTGTAATTCCAGCACTTTGGGAGGCTGGGGCAGGGGGACTGTTTGAGCTCAACCAGGAGCTTGAGACCAGTCTGGCCAACAAGGTGAAACCCAATCTCCACAAAAAATACAAAAACTAGCCAGGCATGGTGGCATGAGCCTATAGTCCCAGCTACTCAGGAGGCTGAGGTGGGAGGATCACCTGACCTTGGGGAGGTTGAGGCTGCAGTGAGCCATGATCACGCCACTGCACTATAAGTTTGAAAGCCCATCTCAAAAATAAATAAATAGGCTGGACATGGTGCCACACATCTATAATCCCAGCACTTTGGGAGGCTGAGGCGAGTGAATCATCTGAGGTCAGGAGTCTGACACCAGCCTGGCCAACATGGTGAAACCCTATCTCTACTAAAATTACAAAAATTAGGCCAGGTGAGATGGCTCATGCCTGTAATCCCAGCATTTTGGGAGGCCAAGGCAGGCGGATCACAAGGTCAGGAGTTCAAGACCAGCCTGGCCAACACGGTAAAACTCTGTCTCTACTAAAAACACAAAAATTAGCTGGGCATGGTGGTATGCGCCTGTAATCCCATCTACTCGGGAGGCTGAGGCAGGAGAGTTGCTTGAACCAGGACCCAGGAGGCAGAGGTTGCAGTGAGCTGAGATCGCACCTCTGCACTCTAGCCTGGGCTACAGAGTGCGACTCTGTCTCAAAAATATACATATAAAAATTAGCTGGGCATGGTGGTGCATGCTTGTAGTCCCAGTTACTTGAGAGGCTGGGGCAGGATAATCACTTGAACCTGGGAGGCAGAAGTTGCAGTGAGGTGAGATCACTCCACTGCACTCCAGACTGGGCAACAGAGCGAGACTACGTCTCAAAAGAAAAAAATTATTTAAAAGTTAATAAAAAAACAATTTTGGCTGTCTTACCCTCAAATTAGGACTGTAATACTATCTTCTTGTATTTTGAAATAGTTTTTCATACTTTTATTGCTCATTACTAAAACCAAACTTTATACGAGTCCAATTTAGCAAGGCTTTTCTTCTTTTTTTTAGTACTAGGCATTTCATTTGACTCTTAAAATTTCTTCTAAGGCTGAGTACGGTAATCCCAGCTCACATCTGTAATCCCAGCACTTTGGAAGGTAGAAGCTGGTGGATCACCTAAGGTCAGGAGTTCCAGACTAGCCTGGCCCACATGGAGAAACCCCATTTCTACTAAAAATACAAAAATTAGAGGGGGATGGTGGGGGGCACCTGTAGTCCAGCTACTCAGGAGGTTGAGGCAGAATTGCTTGAACCCAGGAAGCGGAGGTTGCAGTGAACCAAGAGTATGGTATTATACTCCAGCCTGGGTGACAACAGCTAAACTCCATCACCCATCCCCCAAAAATTGTCTTTTTCTAATAGAAGGTAGGGCCCGGCCCATCAGGAAATCATATGCTATAGTTTGATATCCTATACTGAATTCAGTTGATTGTTGAGATTTCAAACATACTTAGATTTGCAAAGCACTGGGTAATTTAGGTAGCTGATCTTATTCCTAGCATCACCACTTTGACATGAATCACTCAAAAACGAAGCCATAGAGATGCACTGAGGCTGCAAATCCAGTCCAGCTGGTACAAAATGCTTCTGTAGACTATCTCCTCTCAAAGTGATCTTCTTAGAAATAGAACTTTGTCTCCTCCTACCAGAAAGTTAAACTCCAGAGCCTGAGGTATTAAGCACTAAGCTATAATGTTCCCATTAAATGTCCCCCGACTCCTCAAACATGCCCAGGTACTAGTTTTTTTCTAAAGCTTTTAACCTCCATTTCTCATCTGAATTTCCAACAGCCCTAAGAAGCAGGAATCACTGGCCTCCTTTTTCAGGCAAGGAGATAGAGGCTGCATTGGCCTTTGGCTACCACATCACAGCCACCTTCCAGCCAGGGGGCCAAGCAATTGCCTGTGATCGTGATGGAGGCGATAGATCAATCTGAGTTATAAACCTACCATTTGCAAGGAGCTAATGCACCTTCCAAAGTAAATTATTTTCTTCTTTTTCAGAGATAGAATTTTCACACTTTGGACTTGACTAACACTATGAGTATTAGCTATTTCTGCACATAAATTAAATAATAACTCCTTAAGTTTATATTTAACACTTATGTTCTAAATGCTTTGTGGAAGTTAAATGCTAAATAAGGAAACAAAGCCAGCCTTAGCTCTGGAGTGAATTTCAGAGGTTCTTTGAAGAACCTTTGAAGAAATAGGAGAGTTAGCCAGAGTAACAGCAATCTCTCTGAAGGGACATACTGTGCTCTTGAGAGGAGAGATATCGTGGAAAGACAAAAAGTTTAGTAAAATGGGCCAGGCATGGTTTAATCCCAGCACTTTGGGAGGCCAAGGTGGGAGGACTGCTTGAGCCCAGGAGTTCGAGATCAGCCTGGATAATATGGTGAAACCCTGTCTCTATAAACTTCAAACTCCTAGTAGTAATTGTCCATGAAATTTCTCTGTAATAACTGGAACTTGTCATCCAAGATAATGTCCTTTAAATATTCATCCACAGCATAAAATTCTGCATCAAAGGTGGAGGAGGACAGCCTGAAGCTCTTCCTCTAAGGCATCCATTGCTGTTACTGTTCCCACTGTATGGGCTAGAGGAAGCACTGGACTCCTATCTGATCCAGGGCCTGGCATAGGGCCCAGCCTGCCCTCTGCTCTACAGAACCCTAACCTGCATCAAGGGCAGGTGGTCGGCTGGAAGGAGGCATTGCTGTGCAGGCCACAGCCTGCTCACTCACTGCCCAGCAGGGTCAGTGCTTATGCTCAAGGCCTGGCCTCAGGCTCCTCAGCTGCAGCTACTCGTCTGCCAGGTTTCTACATCCATCTAGGCCATTCTGCCCAATTCATTATTATTATTTTGAGAAGTTCTGCTCTTGTTACTCAGGCTGGAGCATAATGGTATGATCTCGGCTTACTGCAACCTCTGCCTCTGGGGTTCAAGTGATTATCTTACCTCGGCCTCCTGAATAGCTGGGATTACAGGTGCCCGCCACCACGTCTAGCTATTTTTTATATATTTAGTACAGATGGAGTTTTACCATGTTGATCAGGCTGGTCTTGAACTCCTGACCTCAGGTGATCCACCTGCCTCGGCCTCAAAAGTGCTGGGATTACAGACGTGAGCTACTGCACCTGGCCTCAATTCATTCTTATAGCTGAAAACAGCAGACACAAGTCTTATAGTTTACTTACCAAAATGATGAGTTTTGGCTACCATGCCTGACTAAGCAGCCAATAACAACTGTGGCAAAAGACATCTGAAATTATAGGTGA